GCAAAACTAATATAGCAATGGCCAAAAAAATCCATCATTGTTGGAACCAATAATATCAAGAATAATTCAAGAAACTACTCACAATAAAAATAGAGCTATAAGAAAACTTGTATGATTTGAAGGTTGTCGCAGACATACAACTGAAGAAGGTTCTAGAAGGTTCTAGAAGGATCTAAAAGATTCTAAAAAGTTCTAAAAAGTTCTAAAAGGTACCGATAGATTCTAAGACGGCTCTTGAAGGTTCTAGGAGGTTCCAAAAGGTTTCGAAAGGTTCTTATAGATTCTAAAAAAGTTCTAAAAGATCATAGGAGGTCTTAGAAGGTTCTAAGATGCCTTAGATGATTTACGAAGTTGCTGAAGAAGGATCTTAGGCTTGCTTTGTTGTGAAGCCTCATAGAAACTTCTCAAGAAGCTTCCTAGGACCAAATATATTCAGGAGTCAAGATTGAAGGGATACTTAGTCTCGAAAATTTATTTCTTGTAGTCTAATCAGGACTTTTTTGCCTCATATCTAGTTATTGTACTAATGTCGAGTTAACTCCATTTCTTAGCCTTGGATCCTTGTCTTGTATATGGTCCCTAACTAAGCTTAGGAAAATATTGAACTCAATACAAGTTAAAATTCAATAAATCAAACATAGAAGGCTAGAAAAGCAATTTACATCCCTTTCAACTAAATGAATTAGAGTAGGTGATTATTGTAATGCAAACTTCTTCCAATACTATGGAACAAGATACTAGAAGATTTACATAAGAGAATTCAATGTTGATAGCCATATCTTCAAGTATCAATGGGACATGGCCAACTATGCCCAAGAATACAATAAACATTTATATATTAAAGACAGTTCAATAGAAGATAATACTAAAGTTCAAAAACAACACTTCAAAAGTATGCCTAGACTAATAACACAAGAATAAAATATAGAATTAGAGAGAGATTACAAAAGCAAAAATAAAAACAAGCACATTAAGACTCTCAAGAAAAAAAGCATCCAAAATTGATATGATACCTTCTAAATTCTTCCAAGCATGCTAAGAAGATGTGCGTAAAGACATAGTGATATTATATAAAGAAGTTTCAATCAAAGCAATCTTTCTACAAAGCTTAATACAAACAAGATTATTTTAATATCTAAAGTATGGGATATATTCTTAATTATTAATTACTATATAATCTCTCTATTTAATACTATTTATAAGATTATAGGAAAGGTTTTAGTTAATCGCCTAATACCAAACGTATCTAAATAGATAAGTAGATCATAAATAAGATTTGCAAGAGAGAAATTTATATTTGATAATGTCTTTTTTGCTATTGAAGCAATGATTTAGGTAGAAGAAAGGCAACAAGACTTAGTATTAATGCTTTTAAACTTCAAAAAAACATATGATAATAGTAATTGGATTTCTCTAAAAGATACTATGAAATAAATAGGCTTCTCATTAAAATGGATCCAATGGGTTATAGCTCTTAACATATAAGTTGTAGCCTTGATAACAATCAATGGTAAACACGGACAATAATTCAAATCAGATAGTTCAGTAAGACAAGGCTCTCTCTTAGCTCCCTATCTTTTTCTATTTACTGTAGACGTCCTTGGTTATATGCTAAATGATGAAAATAATAGTACAAACAAGTAAATATTTTTTGATGAATCTTGCCACTCCAACTCTATAGTTATTGATAACACCTCTTTATTTCTAAAAGGAGATTCCATCAACCTAAAGAGAGCAATGAATAGAATAGGAAACTATTACTAAATTTTAAAAAGAAATATCAATTGTCATAAAACAATGGCAATCTGGGTATCATAGAAAACAAAAGATTTCATATGAAAACAACAACAAGGTCTCAACTAGATAAGACCAAGAACAATAGTACAATACTTACAATTTTTGATTGGATTTCATATGTCATCAAATGAGAACAAAATCAAAGTAATTCAATAAGTTATTGTACAACTCATCGAGTGGAGGCCCAAAAAACTCTCACTTACAAGAAGAACTATGATTATCAATGGAGTAATCCTAGCCTCCATATAGTACATAGCCTCTTTTGCATACATAGTATCCAAAGTCTTCAAACAAATCAAGGTACTAGTACAAAACTACCTATGGTTTGGCATCATCATAAGAACTACATATGTTAAGATTCACTAGAACACCACAATCCAACCTTTGGCATAAGAAAGAGAGAAAGTTTTTGATTTTGAATTATAAACTCGTACTCTTCTCACAAAACTAGTAGCAAAAAGCATGGCTCCATGACTTCAACTTTGAAAGATCCTTCTTCTATATTTAATTACAAAAATTCAATTTCATAGGACTAGAGTCTAGTATCCTAGTTTACATTGATAAATGGGCTCCAAGTTTACTATAACCAACAAGGGCTCTCATTTATGGAATAACATATGCCAAAAATAGTAATACATTTAAGCCGATTTATAACAAATTATTCCTTGCTACTTAGATGAAATCACACATCAACCAATTTATAGCAATATCTTACTACAAGCATACAATGATATTATACGAGGACATCATACCTCAAACAACTATTACCTATGGACAAGAAAGAATATAAGAACTTGCAAGAACATCTCAGTCACTATTACAAAAACTTGGCACAATTTGGAAATCTTGCACCATTACATGGAGAATAGAAGGACAAACACACAACTCACAAAACTTCTAGATATCATATTGTAGCACCGAAGAGAAGCTCAATCATACACAACTATAGAATGGTGGATAACTAATATTTATAGTTCTATTGTAAAAATCTTCTATATACTCAAAATTAAAAATACTATATTATAAGGAGACAAGTACATCATTAATACCTTCAAAAAATAAGAAGTCGAATATAAAAAGTTCAATATTCCTCAAAAAAATTAAAGTCTAATAAGTGTGCATTATGTCACATATGGGAGCAAATGGAATATTTAAAGACTACAATCCCTTACAAACAAAACATACACTCTAGCTTACAAGTGACAAATCCATGTGCCAACTCCCACTAGATTCAGCAGACTATACTTGAAAGAGACAATGGGCCTTCTTCAACACCATGCTTTTCAATTGCACTACTAAATGTGGATACAAACACCAAAATAAATCCATTGCAATATCATTTAAAGGCAAGGAAATCCTACGACGACACAACTTCATGAACAACCAACAAAAATAGTTCTACTACAACCTTTGGCATCCGTGGCTCCCAAAGAAAGTCTTTGCCATGCAATGGTTAGTATTTGTGGGCAGAATCCTAGTAGGAGCATGACGACAAGTGATGCAAAAGAACGGTCACTACTCCCTCTACAACAATGATTCTATCAAAATAATACTACATGCGTTCTGGGAGTGCCTTCACATCACCATCACGTGGTCAAAATATAACCAATTATGCTCGTCGGCCCTACTCTCTTGTTTCAGCAGCTAGAACTAGGTCCTATAGAGATCCCTCACTCTATTCATGGACATATGGACCCCCAACAAAGTTTTTGCAAAGGTGACAATAAAGGAACCAGCTTAGCAATTAGTTCCCTCCATGCAGTTGCTTTCCGAAGATCTACCGCGACACCTCCATAGCAATCAGATCAGTGTTCAAAATGCAACAAGCTACCACCCACAACAATCCTCAAACCCTTCTGGAGACACTCCTCATTGCAGCCTCGAACAAGAAGACCTTGCGCACAGCTTTACACCAAGCGAGGAGATACTATAGCGTGACATATAACAACTCTTTGCATAAATCAAACAAGACTGCACTAGGAAAATAATCACACATGGACAAAGAAGCAAAGAAACTCCCACCTTATGCCAACGCCTTCAGCAATACACACATCGACACCAAACCGCAACAGCTCCAGATTTCCAGCTCCACATTTACGCAACAATGGCAATCACATATATAATAGACGATGATCTATTTCAGATAATTGATAGTGCATATAAAAGTAGGCAAGAGTGGTATGAGAAACTTGAAAACATGGACAACCATGATATAGACACGCACTCGCGACAGAATCCGACGAGGGTTCTGCAACTGAAGTCAATTTTAGTAACAACAGAACAGACTAGACCTAATTCTCTTGACTAGGCTCCACAGAGAGAAACTCAGACTAATAGCCAAAGAACGTAATACTACGTTACCCTAGCATATCATTGCGTCTACGAGGGTGCAAATCCGTTCCAAAAGCAAGTACACGTTTGTTACTACTTTTCACATTGACCCCAGTGGGGTATTTGGGTCAAATGGTAGAGCTTCATGTACTTCATCGGTACGGTTCAATAGCTACAGAATTTTTCCCCCAGAGCACTATTCCCAAACCATTATTATATCATACTTTTTAAAGCACATATTACATAAACAAATTGACTACCTCAACTTAAAGAGTATGGACATTGTGGAGGTAGTTTCAAGGCCCTTATGGGAAGTAGATCACAGTGTTGTGTGTCCTGTTTTTTTTGAAGACTTGAAGCTGTTTTGATTTTTCGGAAACTTGCAGCTATTAGGTGTAATTGTGTTGGATATGAATTTGGATTAATTTTGTATTATGTTAATATTGTTTGATTGTCATTTAGTAAATTAATATCTAGCAAATGTAAATTTGGCGACACCAAGTTGTAACAATTTGAAATGATGCTAAGAAGATTATTATTATTTTTACATTAGAACAATTCGAACAGTTGAAGGGTAGTTTTCATTTCCTTACGAGAAAGACATTGTCTTCAGTTGGTGCGTACGCAAATTTTTGTAAGATAATCGAAACAGAATTGGGATTACTTGGAATTGTGTCCGACATCAGATCAAATTATCGTAGGACAGTAAGTAATTGCGTCGAACAGAATATGCGCTTAGGTCCAATCTATTAAATAAGAACCTTGCTCAAGCAGAAGATACGGTACAGAATCATATCTGCTGTGAATAAATAGGAAGATGAGCAAGAATCATAGTCTACTTCTCTTGTGCACTCTTTCCAACATTTGCAAAGTGTCTTGAATTTAATATTTTTCTTCAACAGTAGAAATACAAATATTCAGCTTATGAAAAGAAGGAGGCGTTGACTGGTAACATGGAAGTATCCAACAGTGAAAAAGCAGGACACGCTACCAACAATCTCTGAACTTTGGAACTGAGCATTTTGAGAATATTTATCAGTGGATTTCAGAGGAAGCTTTTCTGATTGAGGGCCACACGTGATGCTTGGAAGAGATGTTCAACAAAAAACCAACTTTACAAACTGTAGTTATTTACAGTTTTCTACGTTATGCAGCAACTCCGAGGGTACAGACCTGCAGCTAGACGGAAGCACTAGACGTTTCAGTCGTGCAGTTCATATCTAACAAATGGATATAGTTACCAGGCCGAGGGCCTTTGCGGAGATGGGGATGTCAAGTATGAGATTTAGCTGCTGCCGCGGCGGCTTGAGCGTGCATTTCATTCTTGAGAGTGGTGGCAAGTGCGTCGTAGGCATCGGCCCATGCCTGTTTCAATGCGGGGGACCAGAGGTCTGGCAAGCCTGCCGCGATCGTCCGCAGCAAAGCCTCTTTTACCACCTGGTATAACCGATCATGGGTTAATTTTCCATTTACATTTCACGTATTAGAAATGTTCGTCTACGCCTGTCGGAATTGGGAATGAGCATCGCTGGAAGCATGTGCAGATGACCGGGGTCAAGTTAATGGCATGAGGCAGGGATCTTACCTCGAAATGAGCATCTTGAACTCCCTTACTGAGATGCTTGGCGGCCAGACTGTGAAGACGAGACTGGAGAAGCTCGTATGCGCCTTTCTCTCCGAGTTGCGCCGCCGCGTCCCCTGTCTGAATCCATTAAGAAGTGTAAGGAGCCCTAAATTTAAAGTTCAAGTCTGGCTTACTACTTTAGAAGCATGCCGATTTCCGGTATTCAAGTCGGTTCTTGGGACTTCATTCTTAAGTTTTCACAAAGTAATTTAGCCAAGAACTGATAACCGAGGTTGGGCGAAACATCACGTTGATGAGGACGGGCAAAGATCACGAGGGATATAACGAATGACTGAAGTGGAATAACGTAATGAATGGTTTCCGTAAGTTTCAAAATGATGCTTATCTGCCGGAAATTACTCAGTTGATCCATGTTATCAAGATATAGGTTCCATCTAATCACAACTAGATTGTAAACCCTTGAATGACGTATAGAAAAAGACCTTATTGTTGGTATGAGCAATTAAACTGAATGATTAGGACGAAAATAAGTTTTAGATTCAAGTCTTCAACGAAGAAAATTAAAAGGACAACCAAGCTCTATGAGCATGCCAGACACTCGTCATGCAGCCGGATGTACTGGTCGAACACAGCTCTACCATCTGTCAGATCCCCTGAGAATGACTGTAACTATTTCCTTTACACGATCGCTCTAAAGAATTGCTTGTTTAATCACAGGCAAGGCAAAGAGCACAGGGCCCAAACGTGGTCCATCACTGTACCTAAAACTGGGCATGCGCGTGATGAAGGAAGAATGTTGTTACGGCCACCCTGACAGGATGTTCTTAGTTATAATCTCAAAACATATACCTGCATCTAGGTAACGGATAACAATAGCTGTGCAGACGTTTCTCAAAACTCAGGGAGTTGGAATTTAGGATTCTCAGTGCTTACCAACTTGAAGACCTGAAGAGCATGGAATTTCACTTTGGGGTTATCCTCGAAGGGGATGCTGGTGTCCTGCATGAAGGAGAAGAACCCCTTGGCTGCTGGTGCAATCTCGAATACCCTGATGATGCCACCAACTTAGCACCTCACGAAAGACAGGAAACGACTCTATTGGCAGTAACACGAGCACCACTGCCCATCACATCTGCGACAGGCAGATCCACTAAAACTCGAGCTACAGCCAGTCACGACAATATCGGAATGTGAGATGTATTTACTCTTTGAAGAAAGCGACGGCGTTTGCTTGTGCGTCCACTTTTAGAAGCTCCCAAGACTGCTTCACCAGGGCCACGCTCTCCTTGGAGTAAACCTTCTCTGCAACGAATTCACGGTTACAAATGATTAGTTACAGAAAGGTTCTTCAATCGAGATTGGGACACCAAAACAGCTTCTAAGATACTCAGCCGCGCTTCTATTCCCAAGCAGAACTTCCTAAGAAAACTGGGGGTAATGGTGACGGCGAAATATGGAGCTGAGCAAATGCGGCGCCGTGCTTACCAGCACCATGTGCAGTTTCTGGCGCAACGGAAACTGGTGCGGCGCCAATCGATGATGCCATTGTAGGTTCTTCTAGACTAACCACGACCAAAGCACAGAAATTTAGTATTCTCTGCTTAACACAGCCTGGAAGCAAACATGCCACTGTTTGTGTCACACGCACTTTGGAATGAGAACCACTCATCAAACCATGAGAAAACTATGCTCAATCTCACGACAGAAAGGACAACGTCCACAGTACCCTACCTTACGTGACAGCACCGAAGCTCAAGCCCACTTTCGGCAGGTCTACTGAGGACATTGGCCAAGAACAACTGAGAGCGTGTGTGGAGAGTGCGTCGATATCTTCACCACTCCTGACGAGTCTTTATATGCGATACCAGTAACTGGGTGTCGCAGATATCCCGCACCGGCACTGTTATATTGCGCAATTGCCGGGCATCGTATGGCATGTGTATGACACATATCTCCAGTCCCTCACATCAATCGACTAGTGACGCACTTCCTTGATTCCATTTCGGATCCAGGGCAGAATCTGGACGAGGCCTAGCTGCCACTTCCACTAGAGAGGGCACGAGCCCTAAACTTTCGAGTCTCTCTCGGTTGCCCCATCCGGAAGCTGTACAGCATGTCCTTCACTAAAATTTCCACGATTGGCATCCTTCAACAGAATTCATTCCCTATCCCCCACCCCGCCCCACACAATTACTGAAACCATGACTTACAGCCCAGATCAAGCGAAACCAAAAACGGCAAAATCTAGACATCTCTGAACTCACGATGTGAAACCCGCTGAGCACACTCTCTCAAACCACGAACCTACCCAGTTCTAGCCACTTCAACCACACTGGTAAAACCTCACTTTCCTACCACATCCCATCCATCACATCTTCTCAGGTGTCGAATGTTTCCCACGACAAATTCCCAAACCCACCCTAGCCACCGTAGACTCAACAGTCCCATCTTTAAGAAATGGTAATCCACTTTTTTATCTGTTTTTTACACATACGAAAAACCCAACTCCTGCAGGTTAACGAAGGTAGAAAGAACAACTTTACAACCGGTTATCAGGCGCTTATCAGAGCAGACTCGAGAGCAAGTTGACAGGTCGTGGATAACATCCGGGGTGATGGTGAGCCTGAGATTAAGCATCCATGAATCGTCCATGGGCGGAGGAAATTCATGCTCAGATCCGGCAGGTACAGCACTTTCGACCATGAACAGATTATGGCAAAGTGGCAAATAAGTCAACTTTACAAAGCACTAAAAAAGAAAGATAGAAACTATTAATAAAACCCGGCGGGGCGCCAAGCCGTTGACCTTTCATAATCAGCAAGAAGCCACCCAATCGTAGGATCTCCTTTAAACTTTCGAGGGTGACCCTGCCAAAAGTGCCATTGTCCGGCGGCAAATTTAGTCCCCTACTGGAAAGCACTCGGAACTGTGCCTCCACAAGACCCTCATTAATGCTAAAGTTTCATGGGGATAAGTTTAGTTTGTTTCATGCTTTTGCTGAAAATTTGTGCTTTGGACTTTAAATCACAGAGTGCTAGTTGGGCACGTGCCGATCAAGTTGTTTGGAGTGTGGTGTCCACATGACACTTGGGGAATCAAGCGTTATATTAATAGTGTGGGCGAACTTTCAGGAGTTGTTCGGAATATGTGCATTTGGATTCTCTTTTCGTGTTTTCTTTTTTCAATATATATATATTTATATATTTATATATATATTTTTTGGGTGTTGATGTTTCGTTTTGAGATGTAAAGTGACAAACAAAACCGAGTACAAAATCTGAAGTGCCAACTTTCAAGAGCAATTACAGAAATTTCAATGATTGCTTTATAAATCTGAAAGTTACATGGAATAATAAACACAGTCTTGTACACATGTACAAAGTTGCACATCAAATTGATAACTAAACATCCTTCTACAAAGTCAAATCAACAACTATGTCTTGTACTCAGTATTGTTCAAAGAAAATCTTCAAACTTCAATATTTAGTCCAATAACCTTTTGCTTCCAAAACAGCTGAAATCCTTCTTGGCATACTTTTGTATAGTTTCTCACAATCTTTTGCATCAAAACTAGGATAAATACTACAAACATTCTCCTAAAATTCTTGAACACCTCTTGGCCTTGGAGTGACTTGGCTTAAACGCTGTTTGAGAAGGGCCCAAAAATGTTCCATTGGATTCAAATCTAGAGATTGAGCTGGCCATCGAAGGAGCTAAAATGGCTATGAAGAGAGCCAAAACTGAATACTTTTTGCCGTATGTTTGGGATCATTATTATGTTGAAAAACCACCTTAGTAGGATCTAAGTTGTAATTCTGTGTGGTACTTTGCAAGTAGGTTTCTAAATTTTTTTTGTACAAGTGTTGCTCCATTCTACCTTCAATTTGATACCAAGCACCCGGCCCAAAAGCAGTCATACAATCCCAAATCATAATTGAACCACCACCATGTTTGACAGTTTGACTAACATGTTTAGGTCCAGGTTGTTCTCCTTCTCTCAACCAACACCAAGACCTACCATCTGAGTTGATTAGGTTAATCTTTGTCTCATCACTGAAAATAACTTGTCTCCAATCATCAACGGTCCAATTTTTGTATTTATGAGCAAAACTCAATCTTGCAAGAACATGTCTTTTGGCAAGTAGAGGCTTCTTTTGTTGCACACAAGCACCCAAACCAGCTTCTCTCAAACCACACCTCAAGGTGATGTCTGAGAAGTGTTTACCTGTTTTTTCTTGAAGTTGTTTTGTAGCTACACTTGCCGTTTTGAGACAACCAGTAGTGATAAGGTACACACCAAGTCGCTTCTCTTGCTCTCCTAAAACCTTTGGACGTCCTCCTCTTTGCTTTTCTATTTCACCACTAATCTCCTTTCTCAGATGAGCTACTAAAGATTGACTCATTCCAAGTGAGTCTGCAACTTTTCTTGTAGAAACACCACTCCTAAGCTGCACCAATGCTTGGTGCTTCAATGATTCACACAACCGAGGCATAGAGATACAATTGACAAATCAACTTTCACTATAGATACTACACAATAAGAACAATACAACAAACAAAAAATTCCCTCAAATCTTGCAACAAGGAATGTACATTGAAATTTCAAAATTCAGTAAGAAGAATCAACCAAAACTTAGTACGCACGTCTGTGTGCTTCTACAACACTTTTCTCATAAACCCTACCTCAAATGATAATGAGATTTTTCATCCATGTAGAGGACTGGATGAATACACACAATAAAAAAGTAATTCTATCAATTGACTTATGTGTCAATTGGAAGGATCAATGAACTATGAGTGTTCAGATTTTGTACTCGATTTTGTTTGTCACTGTAGGTATTTGATATTTGATTTGAGGATCATGTATTACCTTTTGTGAATAGAAATTTTGTAGCTTACAAAAAATAATATTATACATGAAGTTTCATTTGATATTGTTTGCATTGTGGTTGATCTTTGCCTTCATATTATACATTTAGCTAATTCAATACATTTTTAAGTTCTAAAACATAAAATGAGAAGGATTTCATATTTAATTGGTGCTTGTATACATAAATGTATATTAGTATATTATGTTATTTTAAATTTAAATATATTTTTTTGATTATTAATTTTTTTAAAATACAAAATAAAATCTTATATTACAATAGATTGAAACTATATCATAGCTATAAAAGTTTAAAATTAATACCTCTTAGTTTTTAAAAGCTGCAAGTCATACATGTATATAATATATTTATTCAATGATTTTCTTTTCTAATTAGTTAGAATTACAATAGTTATTTTATTGAATAAGTAAGTTTGTGATAGATAGCTTAGGAATAAATTGAGGTATATTATAAAATCCTTCCAATTGAGCTTATTAACACAAAACAACACAACAACAAAATAATATTGTAATATATATATATATATATATATATATATATATATATATATATATATATATATATATATATATATTATTTCACTTTATATTTTTTGTAAATTTAATTCTTAGCATAAGAATAAGATATACATTTAGAGAGATGATAATATTTAAATTCATATCTTTAAGATAATTTCAATAGTTATTCTGCAAAGATTTTTTAATAAAACTATTTTATTACATGTATCATATGTCACAAACATATAATAAAAGAAGATTCTAGAAGATTCTTAATAATATTGAAAAAGTCATTAAGTGAATCTTAAATAGTCATAGATGATTCTTGGAAGCTAACTTTTGCTTTGAGCATCAAAGAAACTTCTCAAGGAGCTTCCTAGCACCTAATAAATATATATATATATATATATATATATGAATTAAGATTAAAAAAATCCTTAGTTTCAATAACATAATCCATATGGCTCAACTTAAACCTTTTGATCTTGTTCTTGTATCTTCTTGTAGATCTTTATTTATACTAAAAAATATTTATTTATTTATTTATTTATTTATTTTTTTGAACTCATAAAGTCTTGTATTACTTAAATAATATAGCTATTAAAAAAATCGAGACTAATATAATATAATATTTAAATTTAATTTTAAAAAATAAAAAATAAAAAAATTTCTTTTTAAAAGTATTATAGTATTATAGATATATATATACATATTTTAGTGAATACCTATAAGATTAAGTAGAAGTAGGTAAAAATAGATAAAAGTAGAATAATTTCATAATATCTTCTAGAGAAGCTTCCTAGAAGCTTCACAGATACTACTTTGACTTACATGTGATTGTAGTTGATTAATAGATTAGAAACTTGATCAACAAATTAACCATGTGTTGTTAGCTTGCAAAACAAGATAACTATATGGTGCACATATAGAAAACTTGCCTTGTAAGTTAAGATACATGTCTTACAAAGTCAACACATTTTGGAGGTTTTATAAGACATCGCCACATAGCTCCTAGTTAAGAGTATATATGGAGGTAAGATTGAAGCCTTATTCACTCTTGTCAATACCTTTTTAGTCCTTAGTCTTGTTTTAAGTCTTTTTAATCTTTTTATTTTTAATAATAGCCATTCTAGTTCAATATTATATCATCTTTGAATGACTTTTTAGTCTTATTTAGTGACAGAAGAGTGTATTGAGGATTTCTCTCTTCAAGATTCATATCTTCAATAGTTTGACAAGAGTTCTAACTTATTATTTTTGTCTTGTTTTAGAAGTGAGTGGATTATCCTACTTCTATTGTTGTATTTTGAAAGTTGTAGACTATCCACCTTTATAAAAGCAATCTTGTTTTTTAACACTAATCTTTTTCTAAAAGAAAGTTTATTATCTTTTTTTGTAAAAATTTTCATTTAATACTAGAGATTGGAGATTATCCTCTTCTAATTTAATTTTTTGAATTTATTTGAATTATCTATAAAATGAAAGATTATGGATGCTAT